GCTGTTTCCACCCAGGACAGACAGTCCTACTTCTGAAAGCCCTGACATTTTCAGTAACCACAAAGATTACAGATTCAATCTAGGCATGGTCCTTGGTACAATGCTCAATACTGTTTTGAATACAGGCCCACCTAGGAGATATTGGGGATTCATGTCCAGACCACCACAGTAAAGCAAAATATCATAATCGGTTTCCTAGCACACGTAAAAGTTCTGTCGACACGACGCTGTCGTCTATTCAGTGTGCGACAGCATGTGAAATACAGAGACACCAAAATAGGACACAGACAGGAAGTGAGCACATGCTGTTGGCAACACGGTACCCACAGGGTTGCCACAGACCCTCAGTTTGTGAAACACACTAACCTGCAAGAATAAAAAGAAGGCCGCCCGAAATTTTTTAAAAAAACCGCCCCCTTGAACCCAAAAACCCCCAAGGTTCCTTTTTTTAATCATTGTAAACATACGGGTCATAAAACCCATAGTGTCTCTGTGCTCATCACAGGTACTGTTCAGAGACATTGTGTCCGTGGTGATGGTCAGCTGTCACTAGCAGCCGCTCCCAAATTCTTCTGCCCCCTCAACGGAAGCTCTGTGCCCCTGAAGCATTGCCCTCGTGCTGCTTGATCGATGCCAGCACCACATGTCCCCTGTGTTGAGGTGCATCCAGCGTTTTCTCTGGCCATGTGGGAGCCAACAGGCCACCTAATGAGCATACGTTTTTCTGTTTCAGGCGCCAGTGACATTTGGAGACTTGGCCATCTACTTCTCGCAGGAGGAGTGGGAATGGCTGAGCCCTGTTCAGAGAGATCTGTACGAAGGTGTCATGTTGGAGAACTACCAGAACCTGGTGGCCCTCGGTAAGGTCCTCCTTGCGCTTCAGTTCCCCGGTGCTACTGTAGCCGGACCACAAGGGGGCGGTGGGACGGACACCCCACCCCCATCGGTCCCCTAGGGCTGCCATAGCAGGACCACCACAAGGGGGCGGTGAGACGGACACCCCACCCACATCACAGTCCCCTGGTGCTGCTCTGACAGAAACACCACAAGGGGGTGGCTTCAATAAATAGGAATTTATTTTCTCACAGTTTAGGCAGCTAGAAGGCACCCTCTCAAGGAAGGCTCTGTCTCTCTCTGCCGGCTCTGGGGGAGGGTCCTTGTTGCTTGGTTCCCTGGTGGTCTTCCTGTGGTGTGAAGTCTGTCTGCCCCCATTTCTGCCTGCTTCTCTGGGCCTTGTCTGCTTGGTTTATATCTCAAGAGATTGACTTTCACCCCACCCCACCCTAATACAGGCACCTCAGAGAGATTGCAGGCTTGGTCCCAGACCACCGCAATAAAGCAAATACCACCATAAAGCAAGTCCCACAAACCTTTGGTCCCCCAGTGCACGTAAAAGATGGCACTATAGTGTAGCCTATTAAGTGTGTAATAACTGATGAAAAATTTGAAATATTATGAGTGACCAAAACAGGGCACAGAGACACCAAGTGGGTGCAGGCTGTTGGGAAAATGGTGCTGATAGACTTGCCCCACAGGGTTGCCACAAACCTTCCGCTCGTGAAAAACACACAGTTTGAGAGGCGCAATAAAATGAGGTGTGCCTGTCCTGCATCATTAATGCAACAGAGAAGCTGTTTCCAAACAAGCCCAAGGCCCAGGGTCAGGCTGTACAACACAATACAGAGACACTGTGCAGTCTATAACATGCCCCCAGTACTCAGAACTGGCCTGTCAGAATGTGTGTCTCTCAGGGTCTTTGGGAAACGGAAGCTGCACAGTGTGTGTTTTAAAGCTTCTGGAGGTGTAATTCACACACAGCTCACCGCGTATAGTGTCCAGTCCTGGGATCTGGGATATATTCACATCACCACCACAGAAAGGAGTATAATCGCTGGATCACGTGATACACATGAAACATGTGTCCACATAAGAACTCATACACATATATGTTCACAGCAGCTTTGTCAATAAGTGAAACTCGGTCCCCACTGGCTGTCACTCCCTATATCCCTAAGCCCCCAGTCCTCAGCAACCACTATTGTACTTTCTGTCTCTGGATACCCTAGGTATCCTAGGAGTGAGGTTGCTGGGTCATGTGACAGCCATGAAAACACGAGATGTGAAGGCGTTCCCACACAACTGTTTGTAACAGTGTTGTTAATACAAGCCTAGAAGTGCACAAAACCCAAATGGCCATCAAGTGATGCGTGTGGTATAGCCATACATGCAGAGGATGGTTACGATGTGTTTACACAAGTAACACACAGTGCACAGTTCTTCACAGACCACTCAGTCCTCTCACGCGTTAGTTTCCTGTGCATGCTCAGTGCATTGTATGAAATGGTCAGGCTGTGGGCAACGGACACATTATATGCAACAATACAGCACATGGCCAGACAAAGGAATGAAGTGCTGGTCATCCTAGACACACAGCTGCTGGGGTGCAGGGTGTGCCCTGAGTGACCTTATAGGACCAGAGGCTCCAGGCTCCCTCCAGCTCCCACAGTGATGGAAACTGACAAGGAGCAGTGAGCCAAGGAGAAGGTGGTCGGCAACCCCAGCCCCAGCCGTCACCAATAGAGCAGAGTGCTCAGACTGGGAGGTGAAAGGTGGTATCTGAGTAACCAGCCTCAGGAGCCTCCAGTCCAGCAACTCAGGAAACAAGATGACTCGGTGGAGTCCGAAACAAATGGCTCTGCCGGCTGGGCCTGGACGTCCTTCTCTCCTGTTCTCCAGCTCCTTTCGTGTCCCCATGTTAGTAACTCTCACTAGGGACACAGGCCTGCGCTCTGATATCTGTCCCCCCACCCCAGTCACAGTGGGCTCCCTTCACGTCCCCGTTAGTAATTCACCGAGGACACGGGCCTGGGCTCTGGTTCCTGTGGCCGCCTGTCATCATTGGCACCCTTTTGTCCCCATGTTAGTAACTCTCACTGAGGACACGGGCCTGGGCTCTGATATCTGTCCCCTTACCCCAGTCACAGTGGGCTCCTTCACATCCCCGTTAGTAACTCTCACCGAGGACACAGGCCTGGGCTCTAGTTCCTGTGGCCCCCGTCATGGTTGGCGCCCTTTTGTCTCAGTTTTAGTAACTCTCACCGAGGACACGGGCCCGGGCTCTGGTTCCTGTGACCCCGTCACGGTTGGCGCCCTTTTGTCCCCATGTTAGTAACTCTCACCGAGGACACGGGCCTGGGCACTGGTTTGTATGGACCCTGTCACAGTGGGCTCCCATTTGTCCCCATGTGCAGGACTGTCCTCTCGGAGGCCCAATGTGATCACTTTATTGGAGAAGGGGAAGGCACCCTGGCTGGTGGAGTCAGCAAGAAGACGCCGCGGCCCTGGTGAGTGAGAGGGCGAGCACCAAGCCTTATAAGCAGCGTTCTGCCGAGGAGGTCAGAGGGTCACAAGGAGTCAGCCCATAAGGTGTGAGAGACCCCCAGAGATGCCAGGCCTGTGCAGAGAAGTCAGGGTTCTTCAGCATGAGCCCCAGCAGAAGAGGAGAAAAAACCCAAGCCCCTCGCGGTCCAGTCAGGTCAGACTCACGGCGACCCCACGTGTTACAGACTGCAGCTGCCCCACAGGGTTTTCTTGGCTGTAATCGACAGAAGCCGTTTGTCAGGGCTCCCTCGCCCCGGAGTCACTGGGTGGGTTTGAACCACCAGCCTTTAGAGCAGCAGCTGATGACAAACAGCTTACCCCACCAGGGCTCCTCAGGGACAGTGTTGTTGGGTGGTGGTGAGTTGATTTTGATTCCTGGTGACCCTGTGTGACAGAGGAGAGCTGCCCCACAGGGTTTCCAAAGCTGTGATCTTCGTAGAAGCAGTCATCAGGTTTTTCTCCTGCAGAGCCACAGGACGGGTCCAAACTGCCAACCTTTGAGTTAGCGAGTTAGCAGTTTAGCACTGCACTGTGATGCCACCAGGGCTCCTCACAGGAGAACCACCGTGTAATCAGACCTTAATAGGTGTCGGGCACTCAGGTTCAGGTTCCACCCAGCTGTGTAAGGTAGGTGCAGTTACTACTCCTGTGTCACAGAGCAGGACCAGAGAAGCTCAGTGACTTGTCCAGGGTTACACAGCAGGCAGAAGAGAGAAGAGGCAGAGGAGTTGGGTCTGAACTCCAGGAACCCTGCCTTCAGAACCTCAGCTCTTCACACCCTCGTCCCCACCCACTCTCCTCCCTGCATCTCTGTGTTCAGGCCTCCCTGCTTTCTCAGGTATGTCCTGACCTCTGGTGATAGCACTGCTGATGAGAATGCTCACATTAGTGTCATTTTCTTCATTCCTTAAAAAAAAAAATTAAAACATTTCCATACATGTTCTTTAATGTTTTTGTTTTCTTCATTGTTGTTGGTTACCTTCAAGTCGGCTTGGACTCCACCACCTTGTATGTGATAGGAAGACCCATCACCCGGTTCTGCACCGTCTTCCTGACTCTTGGTTTGTTTTTTGTCCATTGTTGTGGATGTTGCATCAGTGTGTCTCTCTGAGGTCTCTGTCATTTTCACTGACCCTTCTACCAATGGTGATGGTCCCTCGTGTCAGTCTGTCTCTCTGAGGATCTCCCTCATTTCCACTGATACTTCTCTTTACCACCACAGTCGTCCCTTGATCTTTCCTGATGACGTGTCCAAAATAAGCGATTTGCAGTCTTAGCAGCCTTGCTTTGGTTTGTTAACTAGCATTAAATGGTTCCTCATTGGACACGTTGCACACCCTTGTGAGCAGCTCAGGATGGCCAGTGTGAGATAAGCCAGCAGGTGGGAGCCCTGGCTGGGTCATCTGATGGCCTGGATTTGCCTTCAGGTCTCCATGTAGTTGCCATGTCACCTTGAGTCACTGATTTTATGACTTTCAATCTGTTTCCTCCTCTAAATGGCAACAATAGCTATGAGTTGATAGAGTTGAAGGCAGTGACGTATGAGAAATTGGAACAGGTCCAAGAGGTGTCAGCAGTTATTATCGTAAGACAACCATCACAATCCATGTGTCCAGGCAGAAAGGTATAGCACAAAGCTAGGAACAGTATAAAAACAACCATGAGCTTGAAGAATGCACTCAGGTGGGCAGGAGAACATTTTGAGTCAAGATTTCCAAACCTAGGTGAGGCAGTGCCACTCCTTGGTTTAATGCAGGGGTTCTAACCCTGGAGCCATTTGGTCCCTGCAGCATATTTGGCAGTGTCTGGAAACTGTTTGGTTGTCACTCTGGGGGGATAGGGAAGGCTTTGCCTCCAGCATCCAGTCACGAGAGGCCAGGGACGCTGCTCAGCACCTCACAATGCACAGGACGGCCCCCCAGCAGAATCGTCCAGCCCCCAACGTCAGCACAGGTAGTCCCTGACTTAAGACCGGGTTCTGTTCTGATAGCTCTGTCGTAAGTCACTTATGATGTAAGTTAAATACCGCTGCTGCTTTGGCTTCATTATCATTGCCTTGTATTGTCAGTACCTTTATAAACCATAACACTGAACATCTGAGGATGACAAACTGGTAAATTACATGCTGCAACATTGTAGGTAGTACATGCTACTTAGAATTAGATGTACAAACGAAAAACATGCCGACAGTCATATGTGTGGTTTCATCTAGCTCAGGTACATCGCAGGTCAAGGACTACCTATCGTGCTGAAGTTTAGAGACCTGGCTGATCCATCAGTTTTGAGTACCAGTTTCTTCTAGGTACTGCACTGTACAACTGGAGATGGTGAACACAGACAAGGTCCTCTGCCTTCATGGCATTTACTTTTAGTATGAGACCTGTCTCAGCCCGTCGGTCAGTGGAGGCTTGCCTGTTGCTCTGATGGTTACAGACGTGGCCAACCGTGACAGGGCCACAGGAACCAGAGCCTGGGCCCATGTCCTAAGTGAGAGTTACTAATGGGGACGTGAAGGGAGCCCACTGTGGCATGGGTTTTGGTGGTGCTTCTGGACTAAAGCCAGGAAGAAGGGGCTGGTGAGTGACTTGTGCAGAGTGAACAGTGGAAACCCAGGGGATCGTAATGGTGTGGTCTGCAGGCCTGGAGGCGGCACGGGACTGGGCAGTGTTTGCATCACATTGTCCGTGGGGCCAACTCACCAGCAGCCAGCAAGAGCCACAGGGGAGACAGAGAAACAATCAGTGGATTTACAACAAACCAAAGAAGATGTTCTGAAGAAGGTCAAGGCAGGGAAAAGGATCTGAGTGTGGAGGGGCTGCTGTAGTTCAGGGTGTCGGGGAAGACTCTGGAGGTGGCTGTTAGTGGAGCTCTCAGTAGTGGTGGCTCGGGAGGCAGGGGAGGAGACGAGGATCTGCGCTCCAAACAGAGGAATAGATGCAGAGGCCTAGCAGCAGGGCCATGCCTGGCCAGCCTGGTCATGTTCATCAAAGAGCAAGAGGCCACTGTGACCAGAGGAGAGTCACCAAGGGGGAAAGGGGGGAGGGTCTTGAAAGCAGCACCATCCACGTGAGCCACGCAGGTCATCCAATTACATAGGTCATTTAATCTGTCCACATTAAAATAACACAAAGGGCCAGGTGAGATTAACTTCATCTCACCCAGTGTCTTCAAAAGACTATCATTTCAACCTGTACATGCATACCTCATTTCATTGCACTTTGCTTTCACTGCACTTTGCAGATAATGCTTTGTTTGTTTGTTTAAATAAATTGAAGGTTTGTGGCAACCCTGTGTCAAGGAGGTATGTTGGTGCCATTTTTCCAACAGCATGTGCACATTTCATGGCTCTTGTCAAGTTTTGGTCATTCTTACAATACCTCATACTTTTATGTAACACTGTTACTCACTTAAAACACCACAGTATAGTGTGTACATCACTTGTATATGTATTCAAAAAAAAAAAAAAAAATGGCTGTGACTTTCCTTACTGTGATACCAGCTTTATTGTGGAGGTCTGGAACCGAACTCCCAGTATCTCCGAGGACTGCCTATAGTCAACATTTTAAACATTAGATGTTTTACTTTTTTCTGGCATTGTCTTCACGATACAGTGGATACATTACACTTATCAAAGTGAAATGTAAACCCATTCCCATCAAGTCAATTCCAACTCATAGAGACAGAAGAGAACTGCCCCCACGGGGTTTTCTAGGCTGTAGTCCCTACAGAAGCAGATTGCTGGGTCTTTTCTCCCAAAGGCGCTGACAGGTTGAAACCACTGACTTTTTGGTTGGCATCTGAGCACTCTCACCACTGCACCAGCCAGGCTCCTTTGTTCACTCGCAGCACACCTCAAATCAGACTAGCCACATTTCAGGTGCTGGCAGCGGCATGTATTAGTGGCTCCTGTCCATTGTGCAACATGGACTGAAGCTCATAGTCTGTCTGCAATACCAGTGGTTACTTTAAAGTATCACGTACTTTCATTTTACTAAATAATAGATTTGTGGTTATTTTAGGCTTAACTGTAATCTTTCTTTCTTAGATTTTTGTTCTGCTCCTGAGGTGAAAGTTCTCACACTTCTAAATGTCTGAATACTCAGTTTAGCTAATAGGTTGGTTGTTTGTTAATACCATTTGATTTTAAGAATATACTTTAAATTTTAAAAATTATACGGATATTACATAGCATAAAATTCACCCATTTTGAGTGTACAATTCAGTGATTTTTTAAAAACTTTACCCAATTGTGTGTGACCATCACCATAATCCAGTTTTAGAACCTTTTCATCACCCCAGTAAGACCCTCTCATGCCTGCTTAGAGTTAATCCCCATTCCCACCTCACCCCTAGGCAACCACTAATCAACATTCTGTAGGTTTGCCTTTTCTAGACATTGCCTCTAGTGAAAATACCTTTATCTGTTGAATGAGCTAGGGAGTACTAAGGAGCCCTAAGGTGTTGTAGTGGTGAAAGCATTCAACTGCTAAACAAGAGGTTACTGGTTCAGAGTGCAGGGGTAGCTCCTCTGCAAGAGAAATGTGGCATCTTCTGTACAGATGGACAACCCTGCAAACCCTATGGGGCATTTCCACCCTCCTATAGGGTAGCTTTGAATTGGAATCAACTTGACAGCAGTGGGCTTAGATTTTGGGTTTTAATGAACTATCTAAGGAGTTTAATGAGGTGTATGATATAAAATTGGTCCTACAAATAAAAGCTTCCTTTACTCATTTTCAAATTTCAATCTCTCCTGAATTCCAGTTATTATTCCAGTAAAGCCCTAATATCACTGAAACTATCAAAAGACACTAAAAAGTTCCTGTTCTGGTTGTCATCATTGTTGTTATTGAAAATGATAATGCCTCCATTTGTATTCCAGAAGCTTCATTTTTCCAGCACAGAAAAAGAGAAACATTTAATTTTGTGATGTCTTTCAGACTCAGGGTCTAAGTGTAAGACCAAGAAGTTACCTGCAAGTCAGTGCAGCAAAGCTGGGCTAAGTATCCATCAGAAACCAACTTCTGCACCACAGAAAGTTCCCCCAGGAAAGAGGGGCTGCAGAAGCAATCCAGTCATAATAAAATCCAAGAAAGGGCATTCAGGGAAGAAATCTTCAAAATGTAGTGACTGTGGAAAAACCTTCAGGCAGAGCTTATCTCTTCAACTTCATCAGCTCTCTCATACTGGAGACAAGCCTTATGAATGCAGTAATTGTAGGAAAGCTTTCCGAAGGATCTCTTCCCTCATTCTTCATCAGAGAATTCACACTGGAAAGAAAAGCCATGAATGTAGCAAATGTGGGGAACACTTCAGTCAAAGGATAAGCCTTATTCTGCATGAAAGAACTCATGATAGGAAGGAAACTTCTCACTGTGCAAAGGCCACGAGTCAGTGCCCATCTCTCAGTACCCATCAGAGAATTCACATTGGTAAGATGGTCCACCAGTGCAGAAAGTGTGGGAAAGCTTTCAGTCGGATGTTGTCTGTCTTACTTCATAAGAAAATTCACACTAGAAAGAAAATCCACAAATGTTGTGCATGTGGGAGGGGTTTCAGTAAGGAAGTAGCCCTTGTTTTGCATAAAAGAAGTCATATTGGAGAGAAAACTCATGAAAATGGGAAAGCCTTAAATGAGGGTCAGCAGCAGAGAAAGTACTTGATAGAGAACCCTTACAAATGCAGAAAATGTGGGAAATCCTCTAGTAAGATTGCATCCCTTCTGCTTCATCAGAAATTTCACACTTCAGAGAAGCCCTATAAATGTGACAAATGTGAGAAGGTCTTCAGGCGGCTTTCAACCCTTCTTTTACACCTAAGAGCTCATAATAGGCAGAAACTGTATAAATGCAACAAATGTGATAAGGTCTGTAATCGGCATTCATGTCTTATTCAACATCAGAAAGTTCATACAAAGAAAAAGAAGCTGATTGAATGTAAGGAGTGTGGGAAGATGTTTTCTGGGGCTGCAAACCTGAAAATACATCAGAACATCCATTCTGAAGAGAAACCTTTCAAATGCAGTAAATGTAGCAAAGTCTTTGGCCGCCAGTCATTTCTCATTGAACATCAGAGAATTCATACTGGAGAAAAACCCTATCAGTGTGAGGAATGTGGGAAAGCCTTCAGCCACCGGATATCTCTTACTCGACACAAGAGGATTCACACTGAAGATAGACCCTATGAGTGTGATGAGTGTGGGAAGGCGTTCAGCCAGAGTGCACACCTTGCCCAACACGAAAGAATTCACACTGGAGAGAAACCCTATACATGCAAAACATGTGGGAAGGCCTTCAGTCAGCGTACATCCCTTATTCTCCATGAAAGGAGTCATACAGGGGAGAAACCCTATGAATGCAATGAATGTGGGAAGGCATTTAGCAGTGGCTCAGATCTTATTCGACATCAAAGAAGTCATTCCTCAGAGAAACCGTATGAATGCAGTAAGTGTGGGAAGGCTTACAGTAGGAGCTCGTCCCTTATTCGACATCAGAATACACATTCTGAAGAAAAAGCCTAGTAGGGTTCTTTTCTGGGAAAGTGAAGGCTGAGGCTGCCAAAGCAGCAAGGATGGAGACATGGGGAAAAGATAGCTCTCTGTAACACACAGATCTTGTCCATACAGGACCATCTGATGATAAGTGCCCTGTTTTGAAAGCCAAAGAGCAATGTTACTGGTGACTTCTGACCTGATGATTTGAAATCAGCGGATGCAGTGACCTTATCACAGGTCTTCAGTTTCAGCACAGCTCAGAAGATGGATCAGCCATTGTGATGGTGGTACATTCATTTGATAAGAATTACTCATATGCTGCTGCCGTGCAGTTTTAAAGCTGGTTCATTGGTCACAATGTGCAGAAAGGAGACTTGTGAAATCCATGTTGGTGGATGGGGCTTTGAGCCTGATTTAAGATCATGTGAAGAAAGAATGCAATCTGTTTCTCAGAACAAGAGCTACGAAATATAAGGGACTTCCTGACAAACCAGGGTGCCACCTTCAGCTGACAGAAACTTCAAGCTGACAGTAAAGAAGAGTGTGTTTAGGTGGATAAAGGTAGCACTTGTAATGGTGGTTACCATACTGTCACCATGGATCTGAGGGTACATGATCTTCATAGTGTGGAAATCTAGCGTGGCGGATGTACTGAAGAACAAGGAACTTCAGGGAGAAAATGATTGTTCTGTCTGAAAACAAATTGTCTATATTTGTATGAATAAATATATTGATATTTTTATGTGAGAACAGTGAGACAAAATATGGAGAAAACCCTGGATTTACATACTGGGCTCCTCCTGTCAGCTGTTCACTTGATATAATAGCTTTCAGTGCCTCTTCCCAGCTTGTGCAACATATGTAAGAAATAAAATCAGAGTTTGGTTTGGTTTTGTAATTAGGCAGTATTGTTGCACTCTTCTTTGTAAGTTTTCCTTCTACAAAAGCTCTTTTTGAGAACATCTGTATCTTGTAAAGATAACTTCACGGGATGTAGGGCCAAATGGATGAGGCCTAACCTTGAGCACAACTGAGAAACAGAACCAGACCTGTGATGGGTGAGCATCTGTACAGGATAATGGGACAGCCACATTCCCATTTCAACTTGTCAGATGTCTGTAAAATCAGCCTAAAAATCCTTAGCATGGGAGCAAAATGGGTGGGCAGACGGCACAGAGATAGCTTAAAGGGAGGGCATGTCTTTTCTCCTCCCTCTTTACACACACACACAGAGAGAGAGAGAGAGAGAGAGAGCTGGGTTCCAGATCAATGGCCACCTGAGAGGTGAGGAGAAGCAAAAGGATGCTCTCCCAGTCACCACCTTCACAGGCTTAGCTCCTTGCCTATTACATTTCTTAAGTAATAGAACAGCATATGCTTTTGAAAAGTTTACCATTAATTTTGGATGATAAATTACTGTACCAAAAGGTACACATATTTTACTAGATGTTAAGAAATTGCCTTCCCTAACCAAACTGGTATATAAAGTGGAAAAGGAATTTCAAAGGAAGCTTTTGGACCTTTGTCTGGTGTTACGATCCCTGGTGGTGCATATGGTTTGTGTTTAACTACTAACCCAAAGGTTGGTAGTTTATACCCACCCAGGGCAGCCACGGAAGAAAGGCCTGGTGATCTGCTTAGATAAAGATGACAGCCAAGAAAACCCTATGGAGTTGGTTTCTACTCTGTAACTTGGGTCACCAAGAGTTGGAATCAACTTGACAAAACCCAAGCTTGGGTTTTGTTTGTCCAGTGTTCCAGTATCCTGATGACCAAATTGGGATAGATCAATGAAGATTTTCAGAAATCGTCCTCTTGCTTTTTCTCCATTATTCATTTCTTACCAGAGGGTGTTAGATACCCTGGCCTGTTCTTTTACTTTGGCCCTGTCGTTTCTGTACAAACTTTTCGAAGTGTGTGATGTGTGGTTGTGCCACTTACATCTCTCAGTGATGCTGGTGTATTTTTCCTTTTGTTCAGTTTTGTGGAGGGTAAGCTGTGTAAGTTTGAGTCTCCCATTCTCCCAAATTGTTGTTAGGTGCCATTGAGTCACTTGGCACTCTGACCCCATGTACAACAGAACAGACACTGCCCGGTCCTGCACCACTCACCGTCATTGTTGTGCTTGAGCCTGTCATCCCAGCCACTGTGTCAGTCCGTCTTGTTAAGGGTCTTCCCCTTCTTTGCTTACCCTGGACTTTACCAAGCATGGTATCCTTGTCCAGGGATTGGTCCCTTCTGACAACATGACCAAAGTACGAGAAATGAAGTCTCTCCGTGGAGTTTCTAGAAGGCTGGACTTCCACATTTTGAACAAGGAGAGCACTTCCAGTCCTTTCAAAAAGCAGCACTTCAGATGAGAAGCATATTTCCTTTAGCCTGAAGTTTGAAACTTTAACGTGTATTCAGATCACCTGAAAATCTTGTTAAAAAAAAAAAAAAAAACTCTTAACCATCAGATCCAGAATCATAGGACCCAGGATTCTGGAATCCTAACAGACTCTCAGGTAGTAGTCAGGCTGCTGGGCCACACACCACACTTGAGTAGCAAGGATTTAGCCTTTACAGTAGGGAGCCCTAGTGGCACAGTGGTTAAAGTGTTCAGTTGCTCACCAGTACATTGGCAGTTCTACATCATATTTCACCATGGGAGAAATCTAACAGTTTCCTTCCATAAAGATGACAGCCTTGGAAACCCTGTGGGGCAGTTCAACCCTGCCCTATAGTGTTGCTGTGAGTCAGAAGCAAGTCAACAGCAGTGGGTTTGAATTGGGCGCAACTCTATCCATCATTGGTAGTTCCTGCTCTTCTCTGCTACACAATAAATTGTCTTCAAAACCTTTGTATTTCCTCCTGGATTCCTCTTGCCCCCCTCCTCCACCACTCTAGGTGGAGGGAGGCTCCTAACGCCAGTCTTATCAGAGTGATGTAAGGATCAATCAGAAGGCCTTCCTGGTGTGCCAGGCCTTGGGGAAATGTCATGCTTGTCAGTGCAGCAGCAGGTTCCTCTCCCTGGGTCCTCACCACGTTAAGCAGCACTTGGTGGGTTTTGAGGCTCGGAGATGCAGATCTTTCTTCGGCAAAGCTATAGCTTCCACATCTGTCTCTTTCTCTTCTTGCACTAACTTGGTTTCAGAAAGAAGGAAGGGACAGAGTTATCTTGGCTCTACCACTTTAAATTCAGGAGTTCTGAATCATTCTAAAGGCTCCTCATATGCCCAAATTGCCTTCTTTATGGGGATATGTCTCCAGCGTTCTGTACAGTTCAGAAGGGAGGAGGAAAGTGAAGTTTCCTTACTTGACAGCCAGCCATCTTTGTAGAGCAGATCTGTTGGCCTTGATGTAAATAGCTTCACTTTCTGTTGGTGGTGTCCCTACATGGCACCATCAGTGAGGGAGGCCTTCTACTGTGAAGTGCCATTAAGTCGGCTCCGACTCAGCAACCCACGTACAACACAAAGTTTTGAGGCAGGCCACCAGATCAGCAAAAGGGGGTCCTGTAAGCTTTACTCCATTCCACATCATTAAAGTCAAGTCTACTTTAAAGACGCACCTCTTGTCTGGTCCTATTTCGAGTGCCTCACAAGCTGAGGGCTTTATCAGACACTGTTCTGCTATCCATAAGGCTTTCACTGGACAAATTTTTCCAGAAGTAGGTCACCAAGCTCTCCTCAGTCTGGAAGCTCCACTGAAACCTACCAGCCATGGGTGACACTGGTAGTGTTTCAAACACTGGTGGCATAGCCGTCACACAACACACAAGCCACTACAGTGCAGTAAGCTAACAGACAAGTGTTCTTAAAGGCTTTCCACGGAGATTGTGAAAGGAATTCCAAGTGTAGCTCGCCCCCTTGTTAGCCCAGTGCCAGCCTCTGCTGTCAGGTCAGTGCGTCCAGCGTGCAGTCATCAGGGTCACTGGAAAGGCAGCTTAGTACAAGCCACCTGCCACTGTGTTCACCCAGCCCGCGGAGATTTAACTTACCTTCATCAAAGGAAAGGGTGCAAATACAGGCTGACCACCCTTCTCTTACATTCTCCATCAGTGGATTGAGCCTGATATGTATTCATGCCTTATGTAAAGTGGGCAACCCAAGATGTGCATCCTGATGAGGTGGTAGCCCTCAGCATGACAAGGGCAGCTCTCATGTTTGTATCTCTGTTCTTTCAAGATTGGGGACAGCTGAACTGTCCCTCCCCTACACTAAGTCAGGGCTGGTTCACCTCTGCAATGACCACCACTTAATAATCAGCAGAATTCCTAACTTTATGATTCTTCCTATCATTACTTGCGTCAATTGTCGACCACTCCCACCCTAACCAATCCAAACCTATTCAGTCAAGTACAGTTCTAACTCATGACTCTTAACATCCCCCCTAAAACCCTGCATACCTCAGCATTCTCGTAAGAGAGAGGTTAGTTTCCTTATCCAGGTCTAAAGCTTATGCAGTATTTAGCCACTGCTTGTCTCTGGCTTCAGTGTCACTTACCCCTGTCCTCCCAATGGGGCCAAACTCAGTCCCACTCCCAAAGATTTGGATATACTATTTCATCGGCCTGGCACTCTTCACTTTTCTTCTCCCCATGTCCCTGGGTGGCACAAACACTTAGCGTGCACACTGAAAGGTGGGTGGTACCAGTCTAGCCAGAGACTCCCAAAAGAAAGTCCCATGATCTACTTCCTAGAAAACCACCATGGAAACCCTATGGAGCACAGTTCCACCCTGACACATACAGGGCACCATGACTTGGAATCAGCTTGATAGCAACTGGTTTGGTTTTGGTTTCAGCCTTTCTCAACTTTCAGGTTTCATTTGGAACAGGACTTCACCCAAGAAACTCTTTCCTGAGCCCCAGACTAAATCACGTTGCTGTTTTATGTACAGTTGCATCACAGCACGACTCAGTGTGCACAGTGTGCAGCTGTGGAGTTCTCTGAAGAACTCTCTTTCCAATTAGAGTCTAATTTCCTTAACAGTGGTGTCCATGTCTGTTTTGTTTTGCCACCACCTCACATGTATTCTGATACATAACAAGAGATAAATAAATATTTATGGAATGAATATTATAGCTTTCAGTTTACTTTGTGATCAAGCTGTATATACACAACTTTTCATTTAGGGCTGTGTTTCTGTTATAAAGCATTATATATCTATATATTCTTCACTTATTGATCACTGAATGGTTAACCATTTTCATTTTTCACTGATATGGCTGTGAAGCAGACATCCTTGTGTATTGATCTTACACCCTTGTGTTTTGCTGGCATAAATTTCTAGCAATGGGATTGCTGGTTTGAAGAGCTGTACATTTCATTGTTTGAGCTTATACTACATTTGGTACCTTTCCCATTCTTTCATCTGTTTAATGGGATAGGGAAGGAACAAACTTGTGTGCTGTTCACTGCCTAAGACAATCTTGGTTTTCCCATGGAAAGTTGATACTGACGAATTGCCTTCCAGAAAGGTTGTTCAAATCCATACTGCCCACATCAGTGCAAGTATTTCCATACCCTTTCACAATATAAATTATTAAGCGGATGTTGCAAAATTGGTATTTCATTGCTTTGTCTTTTTCCTGATCCTGGTGAGATTCAGTACTTAGCATATTTATCAGTCACCAGATGTCTGTTCATGTCCTTTGCCCCTGGGAGTATAGTCTGGTATCATTTTCTAAGTGATTTTTGAGAACATTTTTATATCGGAGAGATGAATTTCATAGTTCGTTTTTCTCCCATTCTGACTTTAAAAATCTTTATACTGTCTTTGTGCATACAAACATTTTTGAAGTTCTTATGGAGTCAAATCACCTCACTGTTTCTCCTCCGTGGCTTCTGGATCTAACGTCATACTTACAGAGATTGTTCTCACTCCGTGATTATGACAGTATGCTAGTCTCCTTTACTGTTGTTGTTTCACATTTAGATGAAAGCACTTGGAAGTAATTTTCATGTACAAAATAACTATCTATAGAGTCAACTTCCTCAACACTATTAACCACTGGTGTGAAATGTCACCTAATAATGTATTTTGTGTATCTGTATGAAGGTATGTATATGAACACACATTAAAACATACATGTGTACATGTGAACAATTAGACATTGTATTCTTGGTGTGGTGTTACAAGAAACTGTAGATTAATCTGGGGTCTCCTGACATCTTCATGATGCCGTATCTTCCCACACAGAATGCCTACTTACTTGCATCTTCCTCTTCATCATTAATGAAACTTTCACCTCTCATTGTATCCATATGTGAATTAGTTATTGTACTGACTGCTTAGGCAAAACTTTCAAAAACCAAGAAAGTGAAACAGAACAAATGTCAGACAACAGGGAGTGCCCAGGACTCCTAAAGGTGATCACATTCATTCTAAACTTGATGCACACCAAAGCAAACATGGTTGTGGACACCCAGTTCGAGTATGGCCTATAGCTGTGGTTTCCTTTCCCCTTTAGTTGTGGAACAACTGTTCAGAAACTTAACAACTTTCTGATTCAGCTGTCAAAATCTTATAGTCTAATTATATTTGGAATTAGGAGAGGGAGTTTAACACTTTATTTTCTATTCTTTGGTTACTGATCTTTCCAGGTTTTCTTTTGTTTCTATTTCTGTTTTGTTTAAATGACATATATATCTCAGTAAATTCTACTTATTAAAAATGTTTTAAAGTATGCCTGCTTAGAATTGCTGAGCATCTAATGTTTTTCTTACCAATACAATCTTATCTCTGTATATTCATGGTGAAATAAGAAACCAACATCTTATCCAATACACCACTCCTAACTTATCAACATGGTTAGGTTGCAAAGACTAGATCGTTAGGCAAAAATGAAGGATAACTACGTAACTGCCAAACCACTGAGAATCATGCCCCAGCCAGGTTGACACATAACCTTAACCATCACAGCCAACATTGCTCTCGCCTCATTACTGCCAGACACACGTCATTAATGCATAAAATATATCAATTTTTTACTGTTGTTGTTAGTGTGAAATGTCAATAATGAGATGCTTGGTGAATGTGTAATGATGTGTAATCACGGAATCTTAACATCAGTCCTGTAGTATAGGACATCCTCAGCACCCACCGTTGAACAGTAACTACTGTTCCTAACCAAACACCTTTACCGTCTCTCAGTCCTGAGATTCTGTGCTTTCTTCTCAGTTGATTATGGAGGAGATCATCAGCTCTTCTTTGTATACCACAGTATCTGTACTTTAGTATCAGTGTTTATTAAGCTGTTACTTTATGCCAGGCACTCTGCTGAGCAATTTACATGCATTGTCTCAGTAAATTTCTCTCATCTTTTGAGGTAGTACCATTATTATTCCCATAACATAAATAAGAAGATTGAAAGTTACAAAGGATAAGACATTCCCCAAAATAAGAGGGTGAAATGTTAGAGCAAGGATTGGAACTCAGATCTTCTGGATGCTGGAATCTGAGTTAATTCTGGTTAAATATCCAGAGAATGAGACAAATGTTGACATAACAGGGCTTTGAAAAGTAGACTGGACCAAGATCTGGGGATAGGGAAGGGTATCTCTTAGGCTGTTTTGAGGATCGTGTGCTTGTCACCTAAGAAATATGCAGTATCACTGAAGGGCTTCAGCAAGGGACAGAGGGTGTGATTAAACTTCTATTTTTAAAAATATGTTTGGCTGCAATGCGGACAATCAAGGGAGACAACAGTGGCTACAGGGAAAGCAATTAGGAAGCTATTTCCACAGTTTCCACATCAAATAGATTGTATCTTAGACAAGGATGATGGAATGAAAATATATTAAAGGGATCACATTCCAGACATATTTAGGAAATAAAACCTACAGGTCTTGGCAACTGACTGGATGTGGAGGGTGAGGGAGAGGAAAGAGTCAAGAACGACTCCATAGTATGAATTCTCTCGTGATGAGCAAGGTGTGCACGCTGCCTGAAAGATTTCCTGCAGTCCTTACATTCATAGGGTCTTTCCCCAGTATGAATTCTCTGATGTAGAGTAAGAGATCCACTATAGCTAAAGGCTTTCCCACAAACATTACATTCGTAAGGTTTTTCTCCAGTATGAATTCTCTGATGTTGAGCAAGGCCTGCATTCTGGCTAAATGTCTTCCTACATTCCTGACACATGTAGGGTTTTTCCCCAGTGTGACTTCTCTGATGTTGTGCCAGTGAGGAACTGTTGCTGAAGGCCTTCCCACAGTCAATACATTCATAGGGTTTCTCTCCTGTATGGACCCTTTGATGTTGATCCAGGTATGCAATCTGGCTGAACGCTTTCCTACATACTTTACATTCATAAGGTTTTTCTCCAGTATGAACTCTCTGATGTTGAGCAAGGTGTGCATATTGGCTGAAGGCTTTCCTACATTCCTTACATTCATAGGGCCTCTCTCCAGTATGAATTCTCTGATGTACAATTAGGTATCCACGATGGCTAAAGGCTTTCCCACACACATTACACACATAAGGTTTCTCACCTGTGTGGATTCTCTGATGCTGAGCAAGAAATGAGCCATTGCTAAAGGCCTTTCCACATTCGATACATTCAAAAGGTCTCTCTCCAGTATGAACTCTCTGGTGTTGAGTCAGGTGTGCAATCTGACTGAAGGCTTTTTTACATTCCTTACACTCATAGGGTTTTTCTCCAGTATGAACTCTCTGGTGTTGAGCCAGGTGTGCATTCTGGCTGAAGGCTTTCCTACATTCCTTACACTCATAGGGTTTCTCCCCTGTGTGTATTCTCTTATGTTGAGCTAGGTTTGCACTCTGGCTGAAGGTTTTCCCACATTCAACACATGCATAGGGCTTCTCTCCAGTGTGAATTCGCTGGTGAAGAGTAAGAGATGAGCTCTGGTTGAACACCTTCTCACACTCATTACATTTCAAAAGTTTCTTTTCTATGTAGACTTTCTTACGTCTCATTTCAACAGATTTTTTTCGATACCTTTTCTTTTTTGGCTCGTGCTTATGAACTGTTTCTTTGGTGGGAATGCTATGTTGTATATCAACCATAGCATCCCGATGGAAAGTTCGCCAAGACTTACTATATTTACTGCTTTGTTCTTCAGTAAGGATTTCCTTATGCACAATCATCAGTTGACTTGAATGTGTCTCCTGGCTTCCCAACTGGCTCTCAAAATAGCCCTCACTGGTACAGTCTTCTCTCAAACTGGAGCAATCATGGTCATAACTGTGGTGGCTTTTTCCTATCATCACCACTCTGGATGACTCTTCATAAATAGCTTTCTTTGATGAAAATTCACTATCTCCAAGTACATGTTCCCAATCTAAAAGACAGCAAGAAAATAAGCATCTTTTGTATTTATGCATTAAAAGTACAGAAACTTCCAGAACAAAAATAGGTGAATAAAATACCTAAGAACTTCAAGGGTGTAGCAGCTCTGAAATACAGTCATGTAGTCTGTAAAGTATGAGAGTATAAAGAATGAGAACTTAAGAAAGCTACGGAAATAAATGAATCGTATGTAATCAGTAAGTAATACCAGAAAAAATAACTAAGAAATCATATGAAATTATAATCATCATTTTATTATCTAAGTTAACATAACAGTTTCCAAATACCCTTTCTTGCCTCTGTCGTTGTTGTTGTTATATGCTGTTGAGTCGGCCTGACTCATAGCGACCCCTCCTTGGGTTTCTGAGGCAGTATCACTACAGAAGTAGGATTGCCCAACCTTCCTTCCGAGGAGTGGCTGGTGGGTTTGAACCGCCAGCCTTCTGGTTAGCAGTCAAGTGCCTTAGGCACTATGCTACCAGAGCTCCCTTCTTGCCTCTAGTTACCCTGTAATCAAATAGGTTAATTATTTTTAAAAAGCTAATTTCATAATGTCAAAGACATGGCTCAAAAGCCTCCATAAGATGCCGAGACACCCTCGGTGCTGTTAGCTGCCTTCGGTTGCACGTGAAACTCTGTGACTAATATTTTGCAGTAAGAAATGATCTTCCTGAAAGTTCCATTCTATGTAATACAGTACATTTTCAATAGGTCCCCAAATCTAAGGTGCCTTGATATAAAAATAATTTTGCATCTAATTACTTTTATTAAGCTAACACAGCTCTTAGTAAGTTTTCCTCTTTCCGTTCCCAAGTCAGATCACCTCATTCCTCTGCTCACATTTATAACATCATACATAGTTCCTACCATCCTCTACAAAGCTCAATATACTCTAGCCCTTGCAGACCATATCTCTGGTCCTCTCCCCCTGGCTTATTCCACTTTAGCTATGTAAGTATCCCTTCTGTTCCCACCAGAAGAACACAACACCTGCTGCTTATCTGCCTGCAAAGGACTTTTCCCAATCTCTTCTTGACTCATTTACTCAATGCATACAATTGTCAGGACTCCTCACATTGTACAATTTAAATGAATGTACTTTACTGTATGTACTTTATCTCTTAACAAAGGTGTTAAGAAAACTAATGGATGGTAAGTAAAGACAGCCTTTACTTACCTAACTGCAAAGTAACCCTCATGGTATATAACAGGATCTCTGCATTCAGAATAGAGACTATCTTCTGAAACCACAGAGGGTTTGCAAAAACTGAGCCACACAGAATCGTCAAATAGCAAAAAAGGAGAACAGGTTCCAATCACTGCCTGATCAAATACAACAAACTATCTGATCAAAATATAGTAAAATAAGAAAATTCTCTTTTAAACATTTCTTGAGTGAAAGGTAAGTAAAAAAGATTATCTAGAAACAGCAAAAAAATAAAAAATTATATATATATAGGAGCTCTGGTAGCATAGTGGCTAAGGCACTTGACTGCTAACCAGAAGGCTGACGGTTCAAACCCACCAGCCACTCCTCGGAAGGAAGATGGGGCAATCTACTTCCATAGTGATACTGCCTCAGAAACCCAAGGAGGGTTCTCTATGAGTCAGGTCCGACTCGACGGCACATAACAACAACATATATGTACGTATATGAATCAGACAGCTTAAGCTATCTTCAGAGGGAAATTCATAACCATTCAGAATTCCACTACTGAATAAGAGACAATGAAACAAAAAGGTTAAGAATTCATTTCAGGAAGGTGAAGAACAAAATAAACCCATGGAAACAGGAAAAAGTCGAGTTAAAGAAGAGAGACTTAGAAGATGGTAACACTGATAGATAAATCCATAAGTCAGATCTTTAAACGAAATAGACAAAACAGTAGCAAACTTAATGTGTATGTGTCTGTGTCTGTGTGATGGAAATTGGAAGTCACCGTAGATGTAAAAGAAATAAAAATAATTATAGGATATTACTGGCTCAAATCCATTTGATAGCCTAAATGAAAAGGATAACTACCTAGAAAAATAAGAATTTATAAAATGTGACCCAAGGCAGAAACTGCTGAGACCATTTAGAAGACAATACAGTGAAAACTGTGAGAGCAGAACTCAGCGGAAGTGCCTTGTTTTTCCAGCTCTCAGGTTTTCCACCTCCAACAAGGTGCAGGCTTACCATTTTTCTATCACTATTAGTGGAAAACATTTGAGTTTTCCTTCTCTGACAGGTTTCCACCTTACACGCGTTCTGGCTTTTGCACGTTTTACTGAACCAAAAAAGTTGTCAGACACCCACTTCCTCCCACAGACCCTGGGATCTGTTTGTCAGAATCTCAGGCCCAGTGATTTCCTTCATTCACTTTGACATCTCTCAAGAGTTTTTGTTTTTTCATTTTGAGTCTCTTATCTCCCTATCCAGTTACATGTTGTATTTCTCCACCTGGAACTTTCCCATCTCAAAGAAACAACCAAACTTCTTACAGCCAAAGCCTAGTCTCCCATCTCTCCCATCTCCCATCTCTTCTGACTTATTTCCCTTATGTGCTGTCACCATCCTGTTACCCAGACTTGAAAACCCAACTGGAAAAGCTTGCTTTCTTGATGGTTTATAAAGTCTGAATAATCCCAAGAATTTAGCAGAGTCTTTTGGTCAAAGCAGAAACTGCACAAGTCTGTCTAAACTAATGAGTACCTCAGTCAGCCTGAAAGGAAGGTGTGACTGGAATGGGAGAAAGGGAAAGCACTGTAGAGGCTGCATTTATAAGATGTGGAATGGATAAGAAGTGGAATGGAGCTACGTGTGCAAACCCAGAGGCAAGGCCAAGGAGAAGCTGTGGATCTGGATCAAGAGTAACAGGAACACAGGCTATCATTAGGTGAAAGAAGACAAAGACAGTAAGCTGGGGCCCAAGCTACAAATGCCTCCGTGTCCTCCCAGTACTCAGGAAGTATCAACTAGGAACTACAACCTCTGAGACCTCTGAGTGTTGATTGGCAGTGGGTTCTGCTTCCCTGGTCTCTCTCACTCACCAGGGCATGGGCCTCCTGTCCCCTCCTTCTTCACCATCCAGGGCGCTTTTCCTTGCTCCAACAATGAGATCACGTCTGGCTTCGATACAGAAGCTCCTGCTGACCAGAAATACAAGGGCAATTAGCCAAGCCCATAGGTCTGATCCTATTCCTTGGTTATTGGGAAGGCAACAACATCATAGGAGGGCATGGAGGAAAAGGTAAAGAATGTGTGAAGAATGTATGAATGGGGGAGATGGACGTGAAGGAACAGTCCAGTGAAGCTGCTGATTCTACAAACTATCTTGGGTTCCAAGAAAAGACATTTTTAGTGGAGCACATCAGAGGCTCCCACTCACGCTGGGCAGCAGCCTTGCGTGCAGGTCTGATTCCAGGGTGCCCTCCTTACCCAGTGACACCAGGCTCCTATAGTTCTCCAGCATCACCTTCCTGTACAAATTCCTCTGAGCAGGTGTCAGCCATTCCCACTCCTCTGGAGAGAAATCTACAGCCACATCCCCAAATGTCACCAAACCCTGAAATGACAGAAAGACATTCTCATTCAGTGAATGTTCACACCCTCCCATGGGCCCAGGCCAAAGAGTTCAATTGTCTGCGCTTCTGGAGAGAAACGCTGCAGAGAGTGGACTTTCCTGGCAGTATGTCAGGCTCTGAGTGACCCATGTCCAGTACACTGCTGGACGCGTCTCTGTGCTGCTTTGTTAGCCTGTCTTGGAAAGTGTGCAGGTTCAGAGATGGTCTCCACTCACAGAGAGTTTACAGTCCTACAGAGGAGAGATGATTCACAACACATACACAAAATCGGGCAACCACAGAACATGATCAACAATCAAGGTATGCTAGCCATGCAAAAATACACAGAGCATTTCTCAAGCTGGAGAAATCAGGATAAATCACACCATGAAAAAAGGCTTCAAAGAAGACGCAGGCCCTAAGTTGAGCCTTCAGAGATGTCACAAGGTCTAAAATCAGCATTTTTCAAACTGCACAGTGGTCAGAATAGACCACTCCCTGGAGAAGGATATCATGCTTGGTAAAGTGGAGGGTCACATTGAGGGAAGGCCCTCAATGAGACTGACACAGTGGCTGCAACAGTGGGCTTAGGTGTAGTAAGGGGCTGGCACAGGACCAGGCGGTGTTTCATTCTGTTGCACACAGGGTCATTATGAGTCGGAGCCAACTTGACAGTACCTAACAACAACAACAGTGGAAGGGGCAGTGTTCCAAAGATATCAATATATAAAAAAATATATATGCTTGTTTCTTGTAAGATCCATTTTCTAAAATTAGATATGTATGTAATAAAAATAATAAATAAGTTTTATAGTGATTTTGTAAAAATATGACTTAAATGTATGCTTTAACAGTACATAGAATGGAATAAGGGGATACTGCATGGTTTAAAATCAAGAAGGGTGTGTCAGTTGTATGCTCTCACTATACTTATTCAGTCTCTTGTGGTTGTTGTTGTTGTTATGTGCTGTCGAGTTGGACCCAAGTCTCTATGTTGAGCAAATAATCCAAGAATCTGGACCATATGAAGAAGAACATGGCATCAGGATTGGAGGAAAACTCATTAACAGCCTTTGATATGCAGATAACACCTCATTTACTGAAAGCACAGAGGACTTGAAGCACCTACTGATGAAGTTCAAAGACCACAGCCTTCGGTATGGATTATACCTCAACATAGACAACAGAAATCCTCACAGCTGGACCAATAAGCAGCATCACAATAAATGGAGAAAAGATTGAAATTTTCAGGGATTTCATTTTACTTGGATCCACAATCAACATCCACGGAAGCAGCAATCAAGAAAGCAGATGCCGTACTGCACTGTGCAAATCTGCTGCCAACATCTCTTCAAAGCGTTAAGAAGCAACAATGTCACTTTGAAGGCTAACCCAAGCCATAGCATTTTCAATCGCCTTACATGCATATGAAAGCTGGACAATGAATAATGAAGACCAAAGAGCTGATGCCTTTGAATCTTGGTGTTGGTGAAGAATACTGAATATACCGTGGACTGCCAGAACGAACAAATCAGTCCCTGTTAGAAGTACAGCCAGAATGCTCCTTAGAAGTGAGGATGGTAAGACTTTGTCTCACATACTTGGCGGGGGGAGGTGGGAGGGACCAGTCCCTGAAGGAGGAAATCGGGCTTGGTAAAGCCGAGGGTCAGTGAAAAACGGGAGACCCTCAACAGGATGGACTGAAACAGCGGCTGCAGCAATGGGCTCAACCATGGCAATGACTGAGGATGGCACGGGACCGCACGGTGTTTCACGCTGTTGCACCTGGACTCACTGTGAGTCAGTGGCATCTGACAACGTGATACAACAAAGAGCAACCAGGAAGTTGAATGATGAGTCAAAACCCCACTGAATTCATGCTTGGTGGCGAAGACAACATTCGCCCGCCAGCTGTCAAAGTGATGCATGTCATCTCACTGATGACACTGTGAGTCTTACACACTTAATGTAAATGCTACCTACTGTTAATATTCTCCATCATTATGAATGTTACAATGGCAACCTAAGTCTTTTGTTTGTAGCATATTAATCATTCATTTCACAAACTCCTCTCCTGTGGATGGTTTTGAATGAATGACAGGCTTACTTTTCAAAACTAGCAGAAAGCTGGACTACAGGAAAATGAAGGTGAGCAAAACCCTCGACTTCTGATGTCTCAAGAGGACGGGGTAGAGTAAAGTAAATGTTTGGCCCCAAATAACCAGCGCCCAGTAGGAAGAAACCAAGAAGTACAATCGAAGTTACTTGGGGCTGGGATGCCTTTGCTTTGGCAGTAAAAAGTGTCCTGAGGCTCAGTGGATAAGGGGCAATATAAGGTTATGTAGCAGCTCTTGGTGACCCGCAAAATTTCAAAAACTGTTGGTAATTTATCATCCTGCCTAAGAGAAAAGACAGCAGTACTTACAAGAATCATCCTAAAAAGCAAACCCACTGCCATCGAGTTGATTCTGACCCACAGTGCCCCTGGAGGACAGAGTGGAACTCCCCCACATCTCCAAGGCTGTCAGTCTTCACAGAAGCAAAGCCCAAGACACACCCACTACCATGGAGTCCATTCTGACCCACAGCGCCCCTAGAGGACAGAGTAGAACTCCCCCACAGGGTCTCCAAGGCTGTCAATCTTCACAGAAGGAAAGCCCAAACCACACCCACTGCCGTGGAGTTGACTACAGCGCCCCTGGAGGACAAAGTGGAACTCCCCCACAGGGTTTCCAAGGCTTCCAATCTTCACAGAAGCAAAGCACAAACCACACCTGCTGCCTGGAGTCTATTGCACTCATAGTGCCCCTACAGGACAGAGTGGAACTGCCCCACAGGGTTTCCAAAGCTGTCAGTCTAAACGGAGGCAAACTGCCTTATCTTTCTCCTGTGGAGCACCTGGTGGGTTTGAACTGCCAACCTTTTATTTAGCACCCAAATGCCTTAACTACTGCACCACCATCGTTCCTTAAGTATCATCCTTGTTGTCAATGTTGGGTGCCGTTGAGTCGCTTCCAACTCATAATGAGCCCCTGTACAATAAAACAGAACACTGCCTGGTTGTGCCATCCTCACAATTGCTGGTATGCTTGAGCCCACTGTTGCAGCCACCATATCAATCCATCTCATCAAGTCTCATCTAGTCAAATAGTGAACATTTCTGAATCTGATAACAAAGTACATCAAAAAATACCTGCCGCTCTCATTAGAGGTACACAAGTGTGCATGCCTAGTGATCAAGAGAGTTGTGAGAACGTCACAGCACAGCTCTCACACAATGCTGTTGCACATGGAATGAAGAATCTTTGCTACGTCATGAAGCAAGACCAGGTTTGCTCCCTGCACACTCAAGCCGGGCATTCTCCTGTGAGATAAACATGTAGAAACAAACCGTAGAAAAGTAGGCATAATAACTGCAGATAATGATGTAGGCTTTTATTATGAACAAAATCATCTTCACATAAAGTGAAACATTCACCCGACAGTTTTATGATACAAACCAGGAAAAGCAGTCTTACTTTGAGAAGCCTTTTTTTGTATTTGTGACAGACCCCCTGACTGTCAGAAAACAGCTCCAGTTAGAGTATCAACTGGGCGTGTCCAAGCCAAGCTGCCCCAGCACAGGGAGGTTCACCTTGGGCAATGGCGTCCTGAGAAAAACCCAATGTGCATGAAGAAAGCAGTAATGAGGAACCGAGCTGCTTGTAAGTGTACCCACCTCCCCACTGAGGGATAGCCTGGGACGGGGTCTACAACCCGCACCGAGGATCGGACCATGTGGTGGAGGAATGTCTTTCCTGTGTTGCTGTCATGTGCCATCGAGTCAGTTCCGACTTGTGCAACCCCACGTGACAGAGAGAACTACCCCATAGGGTTTCCTAGGCTGAAATCTTTACAGGAGCAGATCACCCAGGCTTTTTTCCCACGGAGTGGCCAGTAGGTTCAAACCACCAACCTTTTCATTGGTAAACAAGCACTTAACCATTGTGCCACCAGGGCTCCTTTACTTTCATGTAAAAGGGTCAAACTGAGGCTTCCCACTGGAGGGAGTGGTTCCAGGAGGCACTGGGTCACTGCCGCTGTGCCGCTGACTGTGGTCCTGGGGCTGGGGTCAGCAGGAGTTATACACCCAACTGTGGTCCTAGTGCTGGAGTCGGCATCGGTAATAAACCCACGACCACTATCTTGGGGTTGGAGTCAGTGTCGGCGATAAACCCCACAACCACAGTCCTGGCACTGCAGTCAGCATTGGTAATAAACCCCACGGCTGATTACGTGGTCTCACCTGTTCCAACACATTGTCCCTTCTTGGAAGCAAACACCAGAAGTCTGGAACCCACAGCTAAGAAGAGTAAATCCTCACTGGCCTGTTCCCTTCCATTCCTCACATCACCCCAGGAACATCACCCAGAGAACCAACGTCACCAACAACCAGGGGTGGGATGGTGGGCAGGGAGAACAGGGGCCGACACTTTTCCTCCAAGTCTGAAGCATTTTCTCATCAGCTCCTATTGCTGGGTCAAAACAGTGTAAGTTTAAACATGTGCTGAGATTAAGTTTGGGAAGTCCTAGTCACAATGGAGGGAGCTCTGGTAGTGTAGTGCCTAAGGCACTTGACTGCTGACCAGAAGGCTAACAGTTCAAACCCACTAGCCACTCCTCAGAAGGAAGGCTGGGCAATCTACTTCTGTAGTGATATCGCCTTGGAAACCCAAGGAGGGGTTGCTATAAGTCGGATCTGGCTGGAAGGCAGTGAGTTAGTCACGATGGAAAGGAGCCCTAATGGTGCAACATTTAAGTGCTCAGCTGCCAACTGAAAGGTGGGTGGTTCAAACCCACCCAGTGGCTCTGCAGGAGAAAAGACCCGGTGCTTTGCTGCCATAAAGACAACACAGAAAAACCCATGGGGCAGTTCTACTCACATGGGTCACCATGAGTCAGAATGGACTAGACACCACACAACAGTCTGAAAAGAAAACTTTGTAGGAGTTTATTTCAAAGA